GCCAGTGGCAGGTCCAGCTTGGAGCCAGCTGGCATTGGCTCTGTTGGACATGGGGAAGCTTCTAGCAGCTTCTCACAAAAGTCACCCCTGTAGCCCCCCTGCTACCAAAACCTTGCCACGCAAACCCAATACAGTGCACCATTTAGTGAAGTAATCTCCTCACCCTCTTTTGCAGCGAGCATAATCTGGCAACTGAGGTAAATTTGAAAACAAAAGTTTTCTTCTACTGCTGAGAAGTTGCTGACACAGGAACCAGATAAGCTCTGTAACTTTCTTCTTTACATTCACTCATTAAGGTTAGTATCATAAAATTTACTCGGCCTAGCTTTCTACTGGGTCAATCAAAGACTATTGCTAACCTAACCAGAGGTCTACGGAAGAAGCCTATGAAAATACCAGAAATAATCTGAGTTCTTCCTAGACAATGAGAAATGGAACCAGAACTACCAATCTGGTTATGTGCAACATCCCCACCAAGACTGATTCCCTCATATTCATAATTGATGTACAGCCCCCAGTACAACCAGGAAAGTATGGAAGTTATTGATGTCAGCAACAGAAGGATGATAGAGTACTATTCCCATTCATCATAAAATAAGCAGTAACTCTATCATTAAAATGTGAGTCATTATTAAAATGACTCACAATCCAGTTACACAAAAACAACGTGTGACTGAAACAGAACTCATTCAAAACAAAAGCAATATTGGTTAGCAGAAGAAAACAGTTTTGAGCTACTAAAACTAGAAGGCCTTCTTTCATTTCATTCATGAGGGTTGGACTAAGTGATCTTTGAAGGTCCCTTTCAACCCAAACCATTCTATGATTCATCTGTATGCAAACCAACAGGTCTTATCATTCTGAAATTTAGGAGGTTGTTAGATTATTAAATTATGACTTTTTTTTTTCCAGGTAGTTATCTCCGTATTCAGACACTTATTGTTTGTTAGAAGGTATTTCACCACCTTGGTGGAGATCATCTACCATCTCTGTACAAAGTATTTTATATTCACACAAAAAACAGAAATAATACCTCCAGACCAGAGATGAGCAGGATTTCATACCTGCCTTTCTCATTCAGTGTTGCTTTCCTTAAAATACTGCATGAAATTAAAGGTCTCAATCCTGTATTTTCAGTCAGAATAATGAGCAGTCATGAGGGCCCAGGATATCTAGATAACGCAAAATCTAGCAGGAAGCCTTAAGCAAAAAGTCCTCTCGCTGTGCACAACAGTACCAAGAGGACCATTTGTGAAAGAGAAGAAGCTTTGCCTAGTACAAAACAAGATTCTGCACAAACCCCTAAGAATCACACTTTTTAATGATACAAAATACATTTAATTCACTTGTTCTCTGCTGCTAGAGATATCTGCTGACATCAATGGAATAAAACTGACAAAATCCATCTGAAATTTTACGACTGCAAAACAGTTTTACATTTCAGCTAGGAAGTAAAGGATTAAGCATTTCACAGATTATACATCATAGATCTTACACTGTAACTCATGCCTTGGAAGACCTGTATTCCACGGCCAGGAAAGGTCTACATTTAAAATCTATTTCTGCAATATTCTTCGTTTTACTTTTGTCTTAGTTACTACTATGAGTTCGTTCGTGGTGGTTACCAATAATCAATGCAAAGCCCTTTCTATGTCACCACCTGGAAACTTAGTATTAAATGGAATTTAGAAATATTCTTTAAAAAAAAAAAAAAAATTGAAGTTCACAGTCGCTCTAAAACATATATGCCAGAAAAAAAAACAGTTGTTCATTTTTTTTATGTGTCTTAGTGTGACTCTTCTCCAAAAGAGAGAAGACATCTAAGAGTTAATCTGTTATTCTGCACCTAGGTACTTTCTGGAATATAATGATTCTTGACTGAAAGCAGTGTAACGCAGTAATTAACAGAAATAAGATGACCTAAGATTCTGGAGTGGGATTTAAGAATGAGGTTGGTCAGAAACATTTTGGTAAGACATTCATTTTCTGTCAACTGAAACTTTTTGTTGAAATCAATCTTTTCCCCATTTCATTCTTCCTCTCATCCCAAAAGAGAATTTCTAAGGTCCAAAATAGCGTTTTGGGTCGCAAACATAAAGAAAAAGGACAGGGAAAAGGGCAAGAGTTCTCTAATTGGCACTTATTTAAAACAATACATTGGTTCAAGTACCTGAATCATGCAGGGGAGAAAGTGACTTTGATTTTCCCCCTTTCATACAAATGTTCTGACATCCTTCTCTCTCTCCCTTCCACCTCTCTTCCTCCCTGCTGC